GGGGGGGGGGGGGGGTTGACCCCTGGATACCCAGGGGTCAACCCACAGAAAAAGTGTGCGTTGCTTAAAGTGGAGCCAGGCCAACTGGAGCCATGCTTCAGCTGCCAGCCAGGTTCCAAGCAGAAGGATTGCCACTACTATGGCTCCAGGAGGCTCCCAGGTAAGGCTGCTGGGGCCAGCCCAGTGCTGGTCCCAGCCTCCTTACCCCACTCAGGGTAACCTGTCACATGTGAGAGGGCGTGTGGCACTGATGTTCCCCTGGGACAACTAGTGACAGCACAAGGTGCACCACTGCTAGCTGTGCCCAGAAGCCAAACTTCCACACTCATGTGGATGTGGTCCAGGAGTCCAATAACATGCAATTTAAGCACCTTAAGAGTCATTATTTTGATTCCACAATGTTTGTTTAGTTTAGCTTGGAGGGGTGGGGGCAATGGAAGGGGGACCGCTAATGTATGTATACAAATACATTAGCTTTTTATTGGTGTTTTAGCATTAGAAGACCAAGCACATATGTTGTTACAATCCCCCAAATGGGGACTGTTAAAAGAACCTATACAAAGTTATTACAGATGAACAAAAAAGTGAAGTTTATTTTTAAGTTAGATGTAATCACTCAAAAAATCTGAAGATAAGTCTAGGACCAGTAGCTAGATAATAAAAATCTAATCAAATTTCGAATTATGTGCATCCCAAGCTCCCAATCATGGAACTGCTGACAGACTGAGATCAACTGTCAGAGGCTCCACAATTGACTGGTTGATCAAGATCGACTGGTTGGTGATCATTGGTTAAGATAAATAAGCAAGATAACAGAAAATATTACAATAGTATAAATAGTAAACCTTTATTTAATTTTTCTAGGGGATAATTTGCCATTACAATTTAATTCACCCACGGCCCAGTTCCCACCAGTCCCCTTTAACCACCCCACCCAATTACCAGCTCCAGATAATTTGTCACTACTGAATAATTTACAATTACCTGCATTTCCCTTGCAGTGGCAAATTAATGAGAAGTTACTGTAAATCAATAAGACATCTCACCAAAAAGAGTACATTCAGTTCTGATCACTTCTCAAGAAAGTGATAGAACAGTTAGACAAAGTACAGAGGCAGTTCAAATGCAAACCATTACAAATCATCTAAACCAGTGGTGATGAACCACTGGTCCACAAGGCAGACCTGGGGCACTAAATCACACCCATGGTCTGAACACTTATAGTAGGTGTAAGCAAAATATGGCCAGCTGGCTAGCTCCAGCCTGTCAATTGATTTTACCCGGCCCACAGCTAGGCAGCATAGGCAGTGGCATGGCATGACAGACCCTGGATGAACCACACTCAGACCACAGCTTCTGCAGACAGATGGTGCTGGCAGTAGCTTCAGCCTCTGATGGTGCTGCAGGGGATGCTGGGCAAGATCTGCCCAGCCCACCTGCTCGCCCAGCACTAGAGATGGAATCTGGCCCCAGAGATTAAGTCTGGCCACAAAGGCCCCAAGCAAGCTCTGTTCAGGCCCCAGCCTCTGCTGGCAGGCAGCACCTAGGGCATGTGGGGTGAGACTCCATCTCCCAGGCACCACGGGGGGTACTGGGCAATAGCAGCCCTGCCCACCTGGCACCACATGGCAACAGCAGAGCCCAGGGTCCAAGCATGGCTCACCAAGGGTCTGCCCTGTGGAGCAAGTCAGGCAGGGCTGCTTCCATCCAGCATCCCCCATGGCACCAGTGAAGGCTAGAGCCAGAGCCTAAGTGCTGGCTGTCTGCACTTTGCCCACAGGCCTCCATGCTATCCTGTCCCACTCTCAGGGCTCTTGGGAGTTGCAGGGTGGATGTGTATTTGTATGTGTGCCAGGAGCCTTAATGGCAGGACAGGACAAGACAGTGCGAAGGCCCACAGCTAGGCTCTGTCCCCCATGGGCAGATGCTGCACCTGACTGGGAGCAGCCCCTTTGTGATGCCCCCTGTGCTCCACCAGCCCATGCTGTGCAGCCACATGGTGACTCTTCTCTGCCACTGGCAGCTGCCCAGACCACCTACCCAAAGTAGTAGATAACTGCCAGGTGTCTGCTGGGTGCCCTGATCAGTGCTGGAAAGCAGAGACCCCTGAGCCACAGCCAGTGTTGGGGGAAGGGGCCCTGCATGCACTGGCTTGGCTTGACCCAGGCTAGCCTGGCCACATGCTCCAGCTGCAGACACGGCCAGCAGGGGCCAGCTATGGGCTCTGGGGAGCAGGCTCAGCTGCAGGCAGTGCATGCGCATGCGTGTACGACCCTGAACTGCTCACCAAAACTAGTTAAGTGGCCCTTCAGCCCAAATAACTACCCACTCCTGCCCTGCAGGATCCAGCCCAGGTTGAGTAGAATATCACTAATTTAAGCCAGCAGTTGGCCACGTTTTCAAGCAGCGTACAAAACAACCCAGGCTCAAGTCCAAGGCAGGCTGGTGGTAAGACTGTCAGCTGCCACTGCTACTTCTCTGCACCATGTTTCTCTACTAGCCCATCTACAGTTCAGAGAAAGCCTCCTGCTCCTGGAGTCCCTCAGCTGTGCACACCAGATCCAGTGGTTCCATGGGCCAGATCCAGTCTGCAGACTACAAGTGCCATTCCCTGAATCAAGCAACAGCACCATATAAACTCCCTCCTAGCCTGATCTAACGTAGAACAAAATTGCCTAAACTACAAGACAGGCTATCTAACTAATTAAGAACAGGTGAGAAACTGAGGTTAGCAAGCCTTTCTTCCAACAAAAGCATCCCTCCTAAAACTGAAGGCTGGAGAAGTCAAACCTATGGCCCAAGGGCTGAATCCAACCCATGGATCCCTGCCATGCAGACCCACAAGGGGACCCATGCACACTGGACCAGCCATGAGGGTAGGATCTGGGACATGTGCCATGTGATGCCCACCCCAGCTGCTCCAGGACTGCTGCAGATGAGCATGTGCAGCACAGATCCTGGAGTCACTGGAATGGGCACTCCCTGTGGCTGGATGCATGTAGCATGGGTCTCCGGTCAGCCTGAGTGCCCTGCAGGCAGGCTGGGTCCCAGACTGCCTGAAACGGGCACCATGTGGGGCACAGTTTCTAAAGCAGGCGTCAAATGTGGCATAGTCCAGCCAGGGTGGGCACATTGTGCAGCATAGCACCCACTCTGGCAGGTCCAAGATTGTATTTTGCCCTGTTTTTGATGCTCTGGGATCCACATATGTTGTGCAGGTCCCAGACCAGCTGAAACGGGCACTGGAGCCAATGTGCGAAAGAATGGGGGCTGGATCTGGCCCACAGACTAGCCCCACACCACTCATCCAGCCCATGAGGCTGGATGACTTTGATACCCATGGCTTAGGGTAATGAGCCCTAACACTTATGGCCAAATGGCACCATTCAGGAGCAAGTAGGAAATCACTAAGAATAATGTCCAATTACATTTGTAACACCTTTTTCTTATAGGGGTTAGCATCCTGCTATTTTCCCAAAAGACCAGTGCATAATATATGAATGACTGTGCTTAAATGCTGTGCGGTTGCAGGAAGGGGATTTAGTACACAGCACCTTTGGGAAGAGAAAGCAAGTTTTGAACAAAAAGCACAGTACAAGTAGTAAACATGCACACCTACACACCTGATCTACATCCTACAATTATGTCATCATATTGTATCTGAAGGGAGGAAGGGAAAGCTAGCTTATGCATATTTGAAAGGAATGGGCAATGCAAACCCAATGAAAGAGAGCTATCTTAAGCCAAGTCAATAATTCAATGAAATCCCTTACCAAACAAACCCCCTCAAAGTATTGAAAAATTACAGAAATTAAGATATTGTGCATTCCCCACATGAATGCTTTGCACCCTTCATTCTTTCAGGCCACGAGTCTTAGGGGTGCCTCGAGATACTTCCAAGGGTGCCACACACCTTTAGCACTCTTAGGGGTTCAAACACAATTAACAAGGCAAACCCTGAGACTTCAAACAGGAATCCACAGCACCAAAACCATCCTGCCCTGCTGCAGCCTTTCCAAGGTCTGCACAAGGGTGAGACTGCTCTATTATTTCCCCATCCTCAAAACATGCAGAGTGGACATGAAGGGCTGGTGCTTCTGGAGGGTGGCACCGACCAGCACTGCTTTAAGGGGACACTTCCATATGGCAGAGAAC